CAGGCCCAGGCCTCCCCTGCTTTGCCCAGTGGTGGAGAACCGAGTCCAGCTCCACACAGCCAGGGAAACCCAACCCCAGCCTTCCCCCTAAGACCAACCCTACCCAGCCCAGCACCAATTTCCTCTTTCCAACAGGACAGGAGCATTTCCAGCGCAGCAGGGGACTGCCTTTTTGTAACCCTCCAGGGATGCCAGTCTGAGAAGGTAGGCAGTGTGGCACTGGGTATGGTTGGGAAATAGAGAGGAAGAGCATCCTTGGGGGTCCTGGATCAAGCTATACCTGAACCTTCATGGATTTAGTAAATCTCCCCTTATCTTAAGGCAGGGTGAGTTGCATTGTCTTAATACTTTATCCAGTCAAAATGTCTTCACTGATAAACTTAAATTCCTGGTTAACATCCTTGTAAAACTAACTAGGCCTTGACAGTCAAGTCAAGGTTGCCAGGACTAACGCAGACCCAGAGCAGAAGGGCTGGATAATTGTCTTAGGATCATCTCCTAGCACTTCAGGACACACCACGTGCTTTCTAGCTGTGTGACCTCGGACATGTCGCCCAGCCTCTCTGCACTGCTCTATCTTCAAATGTCTGAGATCTATGTCAGGGTGCAGTAAGGTGATGTGCCTAACGCCTGAGGCACACAGTAGGTGCTCAATAAACGTATCCCACCAATGTGGGTCACCCAGCAAAGCTTACGGTACAGGAGGACATGTTAGTTACCAGGGCTTCCCACCTGGTGGAGATTACTTCCATCCAAGAAAGAAAAGGAACAGTGCTTTGAAGTCAAAGGAATCTGGATTTAAACCATTCTTCTGCTCTGTGACATTAAGCAAGTTGCTCAACCTCTCTGAGCCTTTTTCTTTTATCAGTTAAATGGGAAAGGCATTGCCTACCTCTTGAGATATAAGCACGTGCACTGTCCCTAGCACAGTGTATTACAGGCTGGGTCATTTCTTACCAACCTTCTCCAAGGATCATTCAGATCTTCCTCAAGGAGTATTCCTCAAGACTGGGTTGGAGTACAGCCCCCCACCCCCCAGGCTCAGTCTCACCCACGACTCCATGTCTCCAACTTCCAGTCCGCCCCGATGACATCTGAGCCCTGTGTGTCCAGCTCTGACCTCCCTCCAGATGTCCTGAGAGCCTTCCAGGTGTCCCTAAGTCAGCACAAAGTCCTGACTGCCATGGCCTCTTGGTTGGGATTGAGTCTGCCACCCCGACTTCCGTCTCTTGGTCATAGTGGGATGGGTCTGATCACGATGGGAGTTACAGTCAAGAGCAGAATTCTCAGCCCTGGTGTCTTCTCCCTGGAGCCTGGGGCCATCTGCTTCTGGACTCAGAACCTTCTTAGACAGAACGGCCTTTCTCCATGAAGCAGGCTTGGAAAACCCAGTCATTTGTGAGGTGTTCATCTTGATCGTCAATCCGACCAAGTTTAGAGCCCCCTAGGATTTAAAAAGGCCACTTCCAGAGATTAACTCACGAGGCTCTGGCCTGATCCCTGCCTTCATCCAGGGATCTGGAGTGTGAATGAACAGTAGGGAGATGGCAGACTGGGAAGGAGGTGCCAGGCTGGAGGTGAGCCTTTGAAGAACATCTTACACAGGACCTCTCCCTTTATTCTTTGATGCTTCTTGGTCTCTGTAGGGTGAGCATGCTGCTCCACCAAGCTCTGCCTGCTACAGGCCCAGAACAATGGAGCTACTGACTAACTGGGACTGATGCCTCTGAAACCGGGAGCCAAAGCAAATCCTCCTCTTATAGATGGCTTTCTCAGGTGTCTGTCAGGGGCAAAAAGTGAACATACCAGAATGTGTCTACTTGGTGCACTAGAGATTTTTTTTTTCTCACTGCCCATCCAGGCTCAAGCTGGGCTTCCCCACTGCAGCCCACCCTCCACTCTTGCCGTCCAGACGCCAACGGTGGCGAGGGAGGGGTGGCGCTTCCTTGCCACTCATCAAACACTGGAATTCTGAGGCCACTGTCAAGAATGGGGCTCCACAGCTGACCATGTCAGAGCCTTGAGGTTCGCTTCCAGGGTAGGGGTAAGAGTGTTTCATGGTGTTCGTATCAGACACTCAATACATTTTTGTTGTACCCATCCGTTCAGTCACGTGTCTCCAAACTCGGCCCTTGGATAGTGTCTGCAACCCAAGACACTAGATCAGAGACCCTTTGAAAACCAGGAAAGTGATGGGCCTTTCTCCGCCAAGGTGCCCTTGCCAGTGACATTGGCATACATTGTCAGGGCTTCCTAGCTCCCCTCAAGCTCAAGTATAGCTATACTTCACAGATGGGAAACTGAGGCACAGAGGAAGAGATTTGTCCAAAGGTGGGCAATGTGTCTCTTTCTGCCAGACATCGGCCCGTTACATGGAAGTACTAGCTCCAGTCCTGGCTGCGGGTCCAGAGCTGTGAGCTTAGCACCCCACATCGCTGCCACAGCTGTCACCCCAATGCTTCAGGGTATCATAAAGACATAGTAGGTGCAAGCAACCCCTGTTCCCTTCTTTCCCCCTTCCTTTCCTTGCAAGCTTGGAACAAGGTGTGGCTACCACCTGAGGTGATCATGGAAGGCTTCTTGCAAGAGGTGTGCCCTGCTTGGACCTCAGTGCTGGGTGCTGTAGGGAGGTAGGGGCCAAGGGTTATTAATAGGTCTGGCTCAATAGGGCTGGATGGGGGTGAATGTGATACAGACACCCAGCACCGTGGCTGGGGAGGACCTGACACCGGAAGGGGAGGGGGCCAGGGGCTGGGGGAGCGCCACCTCCCAAAATAGCCAGGACTGAAGACTATTTAAGTGGCTGTCCCACCACCAGTCTCATTTCCCAACAGGATCCCCCACCAGCCCAGCTTTTCTGTACAGGCTCCGGCCACTGCCCATCCAAGGTAAGCGACAGCCTCTGGAGTTGGAGGATGGAGAAAGCTGAATCAGGCTAACTGGGAGGGATGGCCACGTTGTTGCCTTTTCTCCAGATTCAAAGTGGAGGTTGCTGAGTGTGGGACTTGGGGGGGGGTTCTCTACCCGCCTCTTGGGTGGCCTGGGCAAATCCTTCTCCCAAGATTAGACCTCAGCTCTCCATCTGTTGGGCCTAAGAGGCAGAGCCATACATCCTCATACTCTAGTGACTCCGTCAAAAGGGCCAAAGGGCAGAGGGGTGGGAGGCAAGCACATGGGTGGGGAGTTGATTGGCCGACCTGACAACACCCATGCTTCTCTGAGGAGCTCTCAGGCCCAGAGAGGATGATGGTCCAGCTGCTGAGGACTCAGCAACAGCGGAGGAGGGAGAAGGGGCAGGGGTGTGAACTTTTACCACAGGAGCTACCGTGGGACTCAGATGCACTGGGTTTGGTAGGACTGAGACTGGGGCATGAGGAAGGACCTCTAAGAGACTGACCCTGCTTGCCCACTGCCTTGACGGGGGTCTATAGGCACTCAGAGACTCCAGACTCAGGATAACACAAGAGTCTCCAGCTGGGGAAACAGATGCTGTAACTAGGCCACAGGGTAAGCAGAGCTTACTTCTCGGGATGCTGAAATGACAACACAGAAGCCTGGCACATTGGAGCAGGCAGTCCAGCTGGGAACAAGGGGCAGAGGCTGAGGCCACTGAGTCAACTGAGGCAGATGCCGTAGGAGCTAAGGGAGCTCAAGGGTCTAGGACAACTGAGGGGTCCAGGGTGGGCCTCGTGCCCAGAGCTGTGAAGTCAGGGGCTTGAAGCCTAAGTCCCCTGAAAGCCAGCTGGCAGGCTCCTGCCCAAAGACGCTGACTCACCAGGAGGGGGCAGCTGGAGCCAGCCACTCCTAAGGTTTCCAGGAAGGGCAGCCTTCCAGGGCTCAGCCAGGGGAGACAGTGTTGACAGAGAGTGTCAGGCAACTTGAGCTACTGGGCAGCTGGGCAGCTGTCCCTTGGTCCCCAATACCATCACCATCCCAGACACCTCAGATCCCACACGGGGGTCTACCCACCTCCAACACAACATATGCAGACCAAAGCGCAGAGTTAAGGGTTATAACTCAAGGTCATGCAGGGATTCAGCTGTAGCTCACAACTAGAACCCAGACCTCTGAACTCCCGGTTCTCACATACTTCAAAGGCTGCTAGTCACAGTCTGAATCTTTGGGAGACCTGAGGGAAGATGGCGTTGAACTCTGGTCCCCATGAGATGTAAAGTGTCCTGGTTCCCAGATAGGATGTTCTGATCACAAAACCTGGGTAGTCTAGAAAATATGGGCTGATGGTACCACCCCTTACCCTGAACTTTCGACCAACTATAAAGGTGGGTAGTTATTCCATGGAGCTTCCCCTTAGCTTAGCCTCCTTAGGGAGGTCTTCGGGAGTTAGAAGGAAGACCACCCGGGTGTGGTGGCCCTGGAGACCAGAAAGTCTGAGAAAGGGGTCTTCTGACAGTTAAGCTGGCACCTTCCCCTCAGAAACCAAATCAAGTTTCAGAAAGTGCTGCCCTGGTCAGGTGAGGGACGGAGCAGCCCAGACAGAGCCTCAGCACCGAGGTCTGTCCCAGTCTAGGCTACCTCCTCCTTGGGTCTTGTGGCTCAGGTTTCAAGACCTCAGCATTAAGATTTTTCGCGGCATAAATTTGCATCCAGGACAGAGGAGAGGAGGCTACCGGAGGCGTGGGGAGAGAATGAGTACAAGGCCAGGAAGGCCCCTAGGGTGGAGGCTGGTCAGCATCATTTTTCCCCAGCGAGAGGACATTAGCCGAGATGCCCAGATCGGAGCCTCGCTGCCTCCCATATGCCCTTGACGGCAGGATAATAATCCAGTCCCAGCTGATGGTCCCTGAGATCAGGAGGTGGTCCCTGGCGGCGGGGGTACTGGTCCGAGCCCCCGGGATGCCGAGGACCCCTGGGCGTGCGGCCCGCTCGGTTTAGCTGCGCGGCGGGACTGAGCTGCTGAGCTGCGCGCGGAGCCGGGTGCCCCCTGGCGCGGAGCCAGGCCAGGCGGGCGTGCGCCTGGCGCGCGACACTGCAGCGCTGGTCATATGAGCAGAAAGGATGAGGAGAACACTTTTTAATCTTTTCGCACTTGCTCTGCCCGCTCAAACAGTTGCAGGATGTCGATGACAGACTTGCTCAGCGCTGAGGACATCAAGAAGGCGATAGGAGCCTTTGCTGGTGAGCAGTGCACTCCCCTGCCTGGCCCTGTCCCCTTGCCCTCTTCCCGCTCCTGGGGCATCCCGCATCCCTCTGCGAAGCCTCCCCAGTTTCTCCCGTCTACACTTCTACACTTGGGTCCTCATCCTCCGGGTTGGCTCCCTGGTCCTCTGCCTTCCAAGGGCTGCACTGGCTATGCGCCCTGCCTGAGCCACACAAAGTTGAGGGCGCAGAAGGGTAGCTTCTCTGGGAGGACTCCCCGGGTCCAGGGCCAAGCCCGAAGACCAGGGTGGGAAGAAGGAAGCTCTGGGATTCTGGGGGCAGGACCCAGACTTCTCCTCTGAGAAGTGTAGAAGGGGCTGCAAACCGGGGCTGTCTCTCCAAGAGACCCCTTTCTTCCACCCCCATTCCCAATAAGACTTTTCCTGGAAGATAGCCCATTGGTGGAGATCCCCTCCCAGGACAGACCTGAGGACACAGTGACCTTTCGGCAGCAGGCACCCAGCCCTGCCCAGCCAACGCATCACCCCCTTACTATCCCCCAGCTTCCAACCCTTTTAGGCAGTCCAGGAGAGGGGGGCCCCACTCAGCTGTGTGACCTCTACTCTGAAGGGACTCCAGCTTAGATACTGTTCCTCTCACCCATGTAGGGAAACTGAGGCTGGGATAGGATGAAAGATGTAGAAGGCCACCCAGTCCAACACAATAAGGATGAGAATTGGGGTGGCCTCCGATCTCAGTGCCCCACCTTGGTGTGTCAGAGATGGACAAAGCAACTTCGCTCGCCCTCTGGCCCTGGGCTGAGGGGAGACCATGGTTCTTAAGAGCCTCTGTCAGTGGGGACACCCATCTGCTTGTTTGTATTTTTTTTAGTCCCCTCCCCCCCACACACACACAGGAAGCTCCAGGAAGCCCCCTTCCCCTCCCAGATCACTATGATAACCCATTCACTGTGCCTTGAGCCACCTGGTCACCTTGAGGATGAAACTTAACTGAGCCTTTGGAAGTCCTTCATCCCACCTCCAGTCACTGGGATGGTCTCTGAGTCTGGGCAGGACTTCTGGGTCCTCCCCTCCCCCTTCCCACGATGTGACCTTGACAGAAATGTGTTGATTTTCTGACAACAGTATATGGCCGAGAGAGAAAGCTGCTCTTCTGCCTACCCTAGCATCCATTGCATGCCCAGGCTCAGCCCACCTAGCTGCCACCCAAACAGGCTTCATAGAAATACAGTTCTCTGGAGACCAAGAGTCTCTGTGAGGCTTCTCAGGGTATGCATGGGGGAGCCAAGAAAGTACGACCTTGGACAGAGCATCCTTTCCTAGCTGGGCTCCCTCTGCCCTCCTGTTCCCAACTGTTCAGGTGTCCTTTAGCAAATGCTAGAACACCCCTTCCCTGATTTTCCGGGTGCCCTCCCGCATCCTTCTTTAACTTCCTCCTCCCCCCAAACAGCTGCAGACTCCTTCGACCACAAAAAGTTCTTCCAGATGGTGGGTCTGAAGAAAAAGAGCCCCGATGACGTGAAGAAGGTGTTCCATATTCTGGACAAAGACAAAAGTGGCTTCATCGAGGAGGATGAGCTGGGGTAAACTGAGGCCTTGGGGGGAGGAACCTGGTGCTAACTCCCCAAGTCGCCGTCCTTCTGTCTGTACCCCTCATAGTAAGCAGGCTTTCCTTTGTTCCTCCAGGGCAACAATATCCCAGGCACCAGGGAGAGATACCTCCTGCTTCCGGGAGGGTCAAACCCTCAGCTCAGAGTGAAACTAACTAGGTTAAATTATAGCCACTTAATATCGCTAATGGAACGGAGTTACTTAATAATTTAATACCAATGAAGAGGCACTTATTCGGGCTGCCTCCCACCGCAGGCAAGGCAGGAGGCATTCTCCTTAGAGTGTCATTGATTTCCATGTGTCTGAAAGGCACCTTCCCGATCTGGTCTGCAGACCCCATGCCTCTGGACCAGAACTGCAGCTAAGCAACTTCTGGGCAAGCCAGGGAGGCAGAGCCAGCTCTGAGGCTTCAGGGTCCTTGGAGCAAAGCACAGAGGAGAAGACAAACCCACATTAGTGTAGAGCCCTCTGCCCCAGCCTGCCTCAGCCACCTGGCCTGTATCTGATGACCCAGCTGTGCCTTCTGTTACTTTCCAGCCAACACTGCCTTGAATTTTGTTAGGAACGGGAGGAGGAAGGTGTTCAGAGATGCATTTTAAGTAGGAAATTCCTCAACCTATCTCTCCTCCAAACTTTACTCCAAGGGCATCTTCTTCTAGAACCTTCTCCCACCTACCTATCTATGCCTGACAAGAACATGTATATGCATGTACAGATGCATGCTAAGTGTTCTCTATTCTTCAGGTATCGCCATCTCTAGAGTGCCTCCTAACTCCTCCTTGACTGGGTAGGAGGCATATGCTCCCCTCTGCCTCCTCCATTGGGGTATCTGTCACTCCATCACACAAGAGGTCTGTGAGGGCTTGCTCTCCTCCTCATTTGTGAAGATGGCTTATTATAATCACCATTTTATAATACTTAATATTTTATATACTTATTGAATAAACAAAGGCAAGTGTCCCCTAAATTGGGGTCAACCTTGCACAGAGGGTCGTCATCCACCCCACACTGACCCACTAAGGGTCAGATCAGGCTACCTGTCCAGCCTAGCTGCACATGTATCCACCACCACTCTCTGCCTATCCCAACTTCCCCTGCCCTGCACAGATGCCAGCCCACCATCCAACGAGGTTCTGCAAGGTGACCTTGTCCTGAGTCCCTCCCATTTTCCCCTTGTTCTCCTCCAGGTCCATTCTGAAGGGCTTCTCCTCAGATGCCAGAGACTTGTCTGCTAAAGAAACGAAGACGCTGCTGGCCGCCGGAGACAAGGATGGGGATGGCAAGATTGGGGTTGAAGGTGGGTAGCTGTGACCGTGACTCTGGGGACACTGGGACTCTGGGCTGTGTGGCTGCTAAATATATATATATATATATATATATATATATATATATATATATATATATAGAGAGAGAGAGAGAGAGAGAGAGAGAGAGAGACAGACAGACAGACAGACAGACAGACAGACAGACAGAGAGAGAGAGAGAGAATATATAATATATAAGAGAAAATATGTTTTTTTTCAAAATTAGGCAACCCATGAAAAATGGCTTTTCCCCCCTTTTCCTCTTTCCTGCTGTGTGAGGGAATGTGGGAGGGAGAATTGGAGATGTTCCTTGCTTTTTTTGCCTAGGTTCTGATCCAGGATCTGCCTACACTGGCTCTGTGACCTTGGGCAGTGTCTCTCCCCCTCTGAACCCGAGGCTCATGTCTGTAACCAGAGGAGACAGGCCCACTGATCCCCCAAGGACCCTCGGGCTCTCGTAGTATCCAATTCCAAGGATGGAAATTCCTTATCTACCGCCCTCCTCAGCATCTCCTCCTGGTGTCCTGTAACCTCAGCTAGGTTTTTGGCTTCATTCAAATACACCATCCCATCCTTGTAGGAGAGCCAGGAAAGAACAGCCAACCAGGACCCAGCTGGGAGTTAGGATGCCCTAGAACCTTCTGCAGCTTTGCTCAGAGTCCAGGCACAGGCCTGGTGGCCCACTACCCCACATCCTTATTCGGTCAACCTGCCTGGCATCTATGGGGCACACCCCAGAAATGTTGGTTCTCTTTTTACAGGTTGCGGGTGGCCAAAAGAAGGATCACGGTCTTAGCCTGGTCCAGAGAGCTTGGATATAGGGTGTGGCAGGGATTTCCAATCTAGTGTGAATGTGTCTGAGCAACGTGCTCTGCCGCCATTGGCTTGGATGGTAGCCCTTTCGGCCAACATAAAAGAAAACTGTATTTTGGTGCCTCTGGGGTTCAGATCCCAGACTTTCTAGGGGAGTCACATAATTATTGTGGGTCCCAGGGTTTTCATCTCTGGAGGAGTGATGATTCTTCTCTCATAGGGAACCCATGAGGATGTGGTTGGTGTACTAATATGTAGAGTGCCTAGGACAGGAGCAGACACAGAGCACAAAACAAGTGCCTTTTGTGAGTCTGTTAACTAACTGAAAGGAAAATGGGGGGGGGGGTAGATTGCACCTGCACTTTAAGCCCTCAGGGTCTATTCGAGAACTGAAGCAAGTACTTAGTAAATATCTGTTGCCTGAGGAGAAAGCCCAGACTCCACACTCCTCTTCCCTTCTGCTCCTCACCACCTGTGACCTTGGGAGCATCCCTGGCCTATACCTGGGTTCTCTTGCCTGGCGCATGGGGCACATGAGCTTATCCTGGGACCTGTAAGTGGTGTGGACACAAATTGCTTTGGGATAAGTATAAGATTCTGCAAGTACGTGGGAAATTATCAAGGAATTTTTAGTGGAAGCAAGAATAAAGATTCTCCTGAGTTTGAGTGCAGGGAGTGCCCTGGATTCTTTAGGGCAGCAGGAAGGAGGGGCTGAGCAGAGAGTGTGGGGTAGCGGGGAGAGCCACCTAGTGGCTTGTCAGCTCTTAGTGTTTCTAGTAACAGCTGCTTTCTTGCCCCCTTCTCATTAGCTCCACCCCAAGCCCTGGCTTCCACTACAGCTCAACTTGCCCTCCATTTTTGAGATGTAGCTCAGAACCAGAGACAGGGTCTTCAAGCTGGCAGCTCCCAGGTAACCTAAATGAGGAGGAAAACCAGGGCATCCCTTGACCTGGTTCCCTCCTCCCACCCCTGCTGTCTGCCATACTTGGTCTTCAAGAGCCAACTAAACTCTTCCAAAAGACCCATAGGCAGCTCCCAAGGAGCAGTGTGATGCCTAGCATCAGGCAAAATAAAGATAATTAGGACAAAGGGATAGCAACATGTCCTGATGAGGAGCCCTTGGGCAGCAGCCCTGTAATCCTGAGCTGCAACTTCATGGTTAAAACTCCCATGAAAACACGGGAGTACTGAAGGCAGCACCCAGTACTTCGTAAGTACCCAATGAATGGCAGCCATGAATTGTCCCTGTTAGCTACATTCTGAGTATTGCCTTGTATATACACACACAAACAAACGATCATGCAGGCTGAGTTTGTCTTAATGAAAAGCTCGTGACAGGAGATGTATTGGTTGCCAGACATGTTTGGATTTTGGAGTGTTCAGATAGTGTAGCCACGACCCTGAAAGGGTTTCAGATTTCCAGATTCGGGGTTAGGGACACTGTCTGTGCCAGGCAGCGTGGAGGTGCAGGGAGCTGAGACTTGGAGGCCAAGAAGCTGGAATGCTACAGGTCGGGACTCAGCAAGCAGGGGCAGGTCCAGGCATGGTGTTGGCATCAGCAAAGGCACTGAGGCCGGAATGGTTCGGGCAGGTTTAGAAACAAGTCAGAGACTGGTTTGCCAGGAATGAGCAAGAATGACTCTCTAGGCCTCTAGCATGTCTCAGGCTGGAGCTGGGCTCTGTGGTGCTATCTCGTCTTCTCCTGGGATGACAGAGGACATGCATACAGAGGAGGCGGCTCAGGGAGGCCAAAGTCACGCTATGTTCAGGACTCAATCTTCAACCCCAGTCGATCTGACAGCACAGTGAAGGTCTGTGTCCAGGGTCCTGGAGGGACAGGACAGCAGGGATAAAAGACGGGACTAAGGTGGCATTGAGGGCCTAGTGAAGATCCAGGTGCCCCTCCCCCTTGTGTACCCCAACTCGAGAGGAAGGATTGAGGATGCCAAACGAGAGTGGCATGGAAGGTAGAGCCTTTCTCTGGGGCCCAGAATGTTCTGTGGCCAGAGTCTTGAGCCCCACCTACCAGCCTGAGGTTGCTTCAACTTCTGTAGGACCCAAGCAAGTCACGGTGTCCCCCTGGCCTTTAGGACCAAGGCTAGATCCCCATCCCGTCCCTGGGGCTCCTTTCCCTGCATGAAAGACCGTGAATCAAGACTTAGGCTCAGCTGTGCCCCTGAACCACGGTAGCAGTCGCTTTTAGCTTCCCACAGCCCTTCCTATGTGCCAGGCACTGTCCTCCGCCATCTTCTTATCTATCTGTGAGGTGGGTGCTGTCATATCCCCACGTCAGTGGCAGGGCTCGCGAGGCTCAGAGGCAAGGCTTTGTTTGACCCTTTGTGCCTAGGAAGAGAGGGATGGTCAAGAGGAGTGTTGAGCTCCGTTTGCTGGCAGCCTGTGCAGGGTGCTGCTTGCTTTCTGCCTTGAATGCCGCGGAAGTTCTGTAAACACCCAGCATAAGATGGTGTTAGGTGCTGCCTTCCCGGCTTTCTTCTCTCCACCGTCCTTGGGTGTCCCCAGCGCAGGGACTTCGCCTTCTTCTGTTCTCACCCCCAGCACCAAGAACAGGGCCTGGTGCATGACGGGAGAACAAGAGAAATTCGTTTAGTGAATGAATAAGAGAAGGGGGGAAAAGGAATGAATGAGGGGTTAAACGAGTGAAGGAATGAATGAGCAGATCAGTCAGTGAGGGAATGAGGGAACTGGTGACTATGTATATTGCAAGGCTGCAGGAAGGAACAGGCTTAACTCCAGCGTGTAGAGAGGGGCTCTGCATGCATGCAGGCTTTGGGACTTGTAGCCCCAGGTACTCTGAGAGTGCAGAGCCAGTCATGGCCTCTGTCCCTAGCTCTGCTTGTCTCTCTGAGGAGACTCATGGTTTACACGGTTCTCTAAGTGCCCAGCTGCAGAAAGAGAAGGGAGACACAGTTATAACATCGTTCCTTCAGACTCCAGTATCTAGGGCAATTACTTCCAGGAAGTTTAAAGACATTTATAGATGTGATCGATTGCCAACGGCCACCCTAAAAGGCTGGGGCCCAGCAGGGAAGACGGGAAACAGAAAAGGAGAGACAGGCCACAAAGAAGGGGGAAGGGCCCCACAGTCCACAGCTGTGGCCATGAGGGCCAGACACAGATGCACATGTGGCCGGGTCTCCTCCACTTCTCAGGCATGGATCTCAGGCTAGTCCTTCTGCCTCCCACCCAGAAATGTTTGCATCCTGAGTGGGACCCAAATACCCCAAGTTCTCACAAGTTACACAGTGATGCCGATGGTCCAGGGAATCGCAAAGAGCTAGGGCATTTTAGTAATCCTGGAAAACTAGGGCTGTTGCTACCCTCTTCTACAAGTGAAGCCCTGAAGGATAAGATGTGATGTAGTACAGGGTCCCTCCTGAGGGCTGAGCTTGGAGGTCCTACCAGGACCCTGTGCTGGCTTCCTCACTACAGCGTGTGTCCCCAGCCTGGCTTTCCACACTCAGTGCACTAGGAACATGGAGAAGACAGACTGAGGTCAGCAGCCACCCCACTTCCTGTGTGCCAGGGCACTATCGGCAGGTCTCCCCGACCCAGCTCATTCAGAACTCACAGGGCTTTGCAGCACAGCATAACTTTGTTCTCTACACAGACGAGGAACCTGAGCCTCAGGAAGCATAGAAGCCTGCTTGGCTGTGAAGGCAAGCACACTTCTCTTGCCCACCTGAGTCTTAGATTGATCTGCACACCACAGGCCTCTGTGTGTGTGTGTGTGTGTGTGTGTGTGTGTGTGTGTGTGTGTGTGTGTGTGTGTATGCTCACTTGGGCATCCTTCCCCCTTGTGACCTTGATCCCGTGATGGCCCTGCTTGCCTATGCTTTGTGCCAATTGTGACTCAAGTGCCTGTGTTCTGTGTTCTGCTCCTTCGGCTGAAAATGTTGCTGTTATCACCGCAGAAACGGAGCCTTTCTGCTTCCTTCTGGCAAAACCCTTAGCAGCCTACTTGTGTGTACGGGGTGGGGGCTGACGGTCAGGTCATGATGGTCATGGGTGGTGAGAACCAGACCCTTTCTGTGCATAGACACTAATCCTGAGGACATCTTGGCTTTTCCACCTCCTGGACAACCATTCCCTCATCCATGAGGTTGGTGTAAAATACACGGCTCTCAGCCTTCTTGCTTTGGCTTTTATGCCACCCTGCCCCTCCCTTTAGTAGGAATCAAATCCTAATGCACGCAGAAATGAAACTGGGGTGTGAGACTGGCGGGCAAGGAGGACAGGAGACCCCTGCCTCACTGTGATTCCCACCTGTCTGCCCCTGTGGGTCTTGATATTGGGGTGCCCATGAGGGCCAGCCCACAGACCTCAGGGGGACAGTGTCTGGTTATATCCGGCTGCAACCTCACAGCAGCTCCAGGAGGTCTAGGAGACAAGGGCCACATCCTCAGTGAGAGATGTGGAAACTGAGGCCCAGTGAACGTTGAGGGCGGGAGTCATGGGGCTTGCATGCCCTTGGTGGGATGTGACCTAGGTCTTCTTTCCACAGGCTTCCTCCCCGAAGCTGAGCTGGGCTTTTGGAGTTATAAATGTTTCCATGCTTAGCAATCTGCTCCTCTATTCCCGGGTGGACTTCCGCTAGCTCCGGCCTTATGCTGCGCTAGATAAGATGGAGCAAGGAGAGGATGCAGTGCTACTTATGTAACCCTCCTCTTAAAAAATGGAGCAGCAGTCAGGGCAGAACAAGATGTCCTCTCTCTGCTTATCCCTCTCCTTCCAAGGCTGAGGCTGCAGCTGGAGTCAGATGCAGGGCAGAGACACAGCCAGGCTTCAGTTAGCATCCTCACAGCTGGGACCCAGCCTCAGTTTCCCCATAAATAACACGAGGATCGGAGCCGTTGGGGACAAAATGGAATAAGATAGCTGGCAGTGTCTGGCAAAGAGCGAGTCCCCAGGACTGTTGATGCCACCTCCTTGTAGTTGCCTGGCTTGACCCCGAGTGACCCCGTCTCCTCCTTCTGCAGCAGGAGAAAGTGATCCTGTTTGCGGCACCTACCTATAAGAAACCGAGCCCTGGAGCTATTTCGAGGCGAGGTGAGGTGATGAACCGGGAGTCGGCCGGCCCTTGCTATGGTCATCAGAACAGAGGGAAGGCAGGCCTTCCAGACGCTGACTCCATGAGTCTCAATTTCACTCGGGGCTGTCAGCCTTCGCTGGGCTCACCTGTCAAGAGCTTCTAAATTTGTCCGGTCCCCACAGCACCCAGGACTGGGGCAGCCCTAATTAGGCTAATTTCAGTTTCCTAAGGGACAGAGCAGAACGGCCAGCCCTCTGTTTGCTGCCTCCCTCCGGCCACATTCCCTTGTGCCTCCCTCTCTTTCTGATTGGACATCAGAAAGTGTCCTCAGAGGGGCTGGGGGTGGGCTTCAGACCGCAGAGTAGTGCTGTTCCTGCATAACTTACGAGAGGGCAAAAAAAGTTCTAGATTTTTCTAAAGGAACCCTGTCCCTTGCACCTCATCAGTTACTGATTTAGTTGTACTCGTTCTGTGTGCCAGGTAGCTCTCACCTACATCTCATCAAGTCTTTCTCACGACCTCGGGGGTGTCCCCATTTTACAGATGAGGATGTTGAGGTGGGGTTCTAACTTGGATCATGTCAGGAGCTTGCACCGGGTTAGCCGCTGACTGTTTGGGTTTCCTGGGTGCTCTGCTTCCATTGTGCTTGACCTTGGCTTGGGGGGTTGCTGGAGGAGGTAGTTACTTCACAGCTCCCCTGCCAGGTGTGCTGCGGAGATTCAAGGGAAGTGGCGCTAACAATCAGCAGCCTCCCCCTATATGTCCAACCTCCTCCTATGTGCACAACCTCCTCCTGTGTGCTGAGCATCCTTGTGGACTTCCTCCAATGCTCTTCAGGAAAGCTGTGGGATCTGGCATCATTCCCACTTCTCAGAGCAGAACACTGAGGTTCAGGGAGGCAGCATGGTGGCCCATGGCCACCTAGCCAGTAATAATGGAACGAGACACAGGCCCTGGTCCAGGGTGGCTACAAGGTCATGGGCAGACGCCCTGGTGGAGACAGATGTGAAGACCCGCACTAGCAGTGGGATTGACAGTGACAGATGACGATGACAGGCCCCTTTGGCTGTGCCAGGTACCAATCAGGCGTCTGTGGGTTCGTCGGAGTGGCTTGAGGTATAGAAGTGGATTGATGAGAGCAGCTGCCAAGAACCAAGAGCTTTCTCTGCAGCAGGCCTGTGAAGGGCAGCTGTGGTGCTGACTGGACTGGACAGTCCTGAGAAGCAGCTAGTCCCATGGGCTCCGCTTTGAAGACGAGGAAACTGAGGCAGGAGAGTCTAGCCAAACTGACAAGGAAAGGAACAGTTGTCCCCTCTCCCCTTGCTTCCTCCAAATGCCAAGTTAAAACATTTCTCTGGATGTTCTAAAAATGTCCTTGAAAAAAAAACCAAGGACATTTTTTTCAGCTGGGATTGGAGGGGTGACATCTGGTCCAGGGAACCCAGAGAATGGCGGAGCACAGGTCCCTGCCCCACCCTCCCATATCCAATTCGCATCTGAGACCCTACCTTCAAATCTGTTGACCTAGACGTTCCCAAGTCTGTGTGCTTGTCATTTGCTTTTCTTTGGGGTGAGAGGAGATGTTTTAGAGGAGACCTTTGCCTGGAAAGCTTTAGTTAATTAGCAGTTCCTAAGAACGCTGCCGCGAGGAAGACACGAACATCCTAAAGAGGTCCAGTGGCCTTGCTTTATCTGTCTACAGTGCCCTGGTCAGGGTTCTGGGGGAGATAAAATTAGAATCCTGTGCTCCCTGCAAAAAGCCAAGCTCGGTGGCCTTAAGGACATCCTAGCTAATTCACAGAAGATCCTGGGGTCTGATGTATTGGGCTTTTGGAAACCTCATGCTATCAAGCTCCCAACAGCATAGATTCCCACTCTGGTGAGCCCTCATCAATACCCTAGTCTACTGCACCCCATCCTGGCTAGATTTCACCCAGTCCTGTGTAGATCCCATCTGATCCCATCTCCTGGGTAGGAGGTGAGCTCCCGAGGAGCAGTCAGGGGCCCAGAAACCCTGGTGTGATTCTAAAACCCAGTTTCCCTCTGATAGCCCCATGTGAGCAATACTAGGAGATTTTGTGTCTTTACAGCATCTGGGCCACTGGCCTGGTCAGTAGGGCCCACACAGGAACTTTATGAGGCCAGAGGACAAATTACAGCCCTACAGCTTACTTTCTATCCGACCCTGACTGCTCTGGCCCCCTATTTTCCCATCTGTAAAATGGGAATCACCTGTGTACCTCCCAGGGCTTGCTGAACTCTGAGGAGGACTCATGGGCAATATCATACTTCATCCCTCATCCACTCATTCAACATTCAGTTATTCTCACCTGCAGGATACTAGGCCAGGCTAGCCTCAGGCAAAGGGGTGAACCAGGGAGACAGCGCTGGAGATGGACAAAAATAAGCAAGAAAATAAGGAAGATCCTTTCACAATGTGCTAAGACCCTGAAGTCAATAAAAATGGGCTAATGCGACGGAGCCAGTGGTGGCGATATTTGAGCTGGGACATGTGTCACTCTATACCTAGGTTAAAGGAGGTCACAAATCTCCCCAGTAAAGAAGGAATCTGAGAGTGACTGTGGCCGGAATCCCATCTGCTGTTGTGACCATGTGAGAGCTAAACTCTAGGGCCTCAGTTTCCCCATCAGTAAAACGCAGGCAAGAATGCGTCTGCCCGTGGGTAGTTCTAAGAATTCCGTGAGGCAATACTCCCTGGATTCTGTCCAGGTAGACGTTTGATGACTGTCTCACAGATACTCAACGTGGACACCACAGACAGTGGTGACAAGAGTTCGAACTCTAAGATGAAGAGAGCTCACAAGCACCACGCCTCCCTCAGAGCCTTCAGGCTCACTGGGCTCTTGGCTGAGAAGACAGGAGATTGACGCCTGGCCTGGGGGGAATTCTTTGAGCGTTCAATGTTTATTTACTTGAGTTCCCATGAGTGCCTCTCATCACTCAACCCAAGAGCCTTTTGAGGTTTCAAGAGCTTCACCTGCATGGACCCTCAGTGGCTCCTGTCTTGAGTCCCAGTGCAGACATTGCCTTAGGGACAAGAGGGTGTGGTGTCTATTTCTCAGACCAAGCGTCAGAAAAGTAAGAAGCCCAGGCTTCGTTCCCTCACAGAGCCGGGACCAGGGCAGCTGCACGGGATAGCTGATGTTGCTGTCGTCAATGTGAGTTTTTAAAATGTTATTTATATTTGCAGAACGCTGCAGATTCAGGAAGAGTCCCTTTGCTCTCCTGCCAGCTTCCCTGGGGGTTAACATTTATGTAACCTCAGTACAGGGCTGACAAGTGAGGAGTCTGTCCTGTGCACAGACTGGACAGACAGGGTAGACTTCAGGGGGCTCCCAGGATCCTTTGGTGGCCTTTTGAAGCTGCTTCACACTGGGTTTTCATCCGTCACTTTTCCTCCCAGGGCATTGGCCCTGTCTCCCGCCATAGATACAGAAGGGACCGAAGCATACAAGGTCTATTTCCAGGAAGGGCCCAAACCTCTCACTCTGTTTCCACGTCACCGCGCTGCATGGTCTAGGGGTGATAGGAATTGGCAGACCAGAATCCCAGGGGGTTCTCAGAGATGACAAATGGAACATTCCACAATGACTCTGACTTTTTGTGTCAAACAGCAGAGATGTGCAAAGAACCTGCTGGGCTCGGAGGAGCTTCCGTTTCCTCCTCTGCCGATTAGGCGTCCCAATAAACAATAAGGTGGCAGTCGGAGCCGAAGAAGATACTGTCCACGAAGTGTTGAAAACAGCTGGTGTGCGGTAGACACAGTCCCAGGTGCTAATAGTGTTCTTCTTCTTTTGCAGAGTTCTCCACTCTGGTGGCTGAAAGCTAAGTGGCGCTGACTACCTGGGTCTCCCACCTCGCCAACCCCAACGACCCATCTCAGCCCTTCTCGCGGCCCTCCTGAGTTTCTGTTCAGTTTGTTTATGTTATTTTTTACTCCCCCCCATCCTCTATGGCCCTTGAATGACACCATTCTTCTGGAAAATGCTGGAGAAACAATAAAGGCTGTACCAATCGGACACCGCCTGTAGGGAGGACCCAGGCCTGGTAGGGTGTTGGTTTGGCAAGTTTTTCCGAAGGCAGTGGGGGTAGTCTAGAAAAGGTGGGGTAGGTGGGAGGGCTGTGTCCCAATGTTCCCTCCCTGTTTGATACTGATGCTCACACGGGCCACCTCGTTCAGTCCTTGCACCTATCCCACAAGACAGGTGATGGAACTCCCATCTTAAAGAGACAGAAACTTCATTTAAAGAGAGGAAGAGAAGCATTTGAGGCCATATATGATTACTTTATGTACCCAGATAGTCACCTTCGGGAACCGCTAGATCAAAGGACTCAAATGACACTCTATCAATTGCTTTTGACTTTGCTGCGATAAAAACCTAATGAGGGCAACTTAAGGAAAGAACCATTTGTTTTGGCTCACTCCGGGGGTACAGTCCATCACAGCGGGGACGTCAAGGAGGCAGGAATAAATAGCAGGCCACACTGAATCACATCACATCCGCGAGCCGGGAAGCAGAAAGAGATGAATGTTGGTATCCAGCTGGCTTTCTCCTTTTTATCCAGCCTGGGAGTTCAGCCCATTGGGTGATGCTGCCCACATTTAAGGTGGGTCTTCCTACTTCAGGCTAATCTACACACTCCCTCATGGGCATGCCAATAGATTTATTTCCTAGATCAGTGGTTCTCAATCTTCCTAATGCTGTGACCCTCTAATACAGTTCCTCATGTTGTGGGGACCCGGACCATAAAATTATTTCCATTGCTACTTCATAACTGTAATTTTGCTACTGTTATGAGTTGTAATGTAAATACCTGTGTTCTGTGATGGTCTCAGGTGGCCCCTGTGAAAGGGTCATTCAACCCCCAATGGGATTGTGACCCACAGGTTGAGAACTGCTGTCCTAGATGATTCTAGGTCCCACCAAGTTGACAAGATGAACCATCACAAATACCCACAAAAGTGAGCCCCTCTAAGAACTGCCTCCCTTCCCGCTAAACTCGTGATTGGGTCAGCCCCTCTTCCTAGTGCCGGCAGGACTCCCTAGCAACTCAGAGCATGCACACAGCATGTGCATGCACACAACGAGACCAGCAGGAATGGGCTCTTCCTTCCCCATCACCCACCCCAAAGGCCCAGACGCAGCTGCTCTGTTAGTCTCACTAACGTTTCAGGAGCACGTGTTTGCAGAGGCCTTTGCAGGATGCCCTTTGCAGCAGCCCTGCGAGGTGTGCACTGTCCCCAGATAGTCGAGGAGAGAAAAGACTCTGGGAGGTTCGGTGTTTTTCTAAGGCCACACATAAGCAACAGAGCCAGGACCCCAAGCCCCAAATCACCCCCAGATCCTGTTACCCTCTATGAATATGTCCCAGTGGCCAGAAGGGCCCTGTGCAGACCACTTGTGGTCATGTGCGTCCTCAAATATGAGGTTCAGCCACTCAGTTCATTCTTGTCGGAGAGGAGGGAAGGACCTCTTTGGAAATCTGAAGCTAGGGTAGAGAGAGGCTGAAAAGGCAACACAGCAGCACAGGAGCCCCGAACCACGAACCACGGCAGGTGGCCCTGAGAGAGGTTCCTTTAAGTGTCCTGTGTGGGAGGGAGGGGCTAGAACTTCCTCCCCTATGCTCGGTCATTGGATGGGGATGAGCAGGCTGCAGAGTGGCACCCAGGCAGAACAAGCAGGATAAGGCCTGGGAGGAGACCCAGAGCCACCCCGTGCAGATGTGCCCAGGCCCGGTCCTGCCTCAACAGCCAGCAAATGAACCAGAGGCAGAGCACATGGGAGTGCCACAGAGCACATGGGAACGCCAGGTGGCAGAGGCAGTGTGAGTACACAGGCACACACGTGGGGACAGTTGGGACAATGTCAGGGCCAGGGCGGACCCAGATTTCCACGAAGTTCTCGGAGTTCTGTACCTTGAACGCTGAGGTGGAAGTAGGGATGAAGACGAGGGAGCACCCTGTGCTAGACCTCAAGGAATGCAGGGAATTTCCAACGAGGGCGCTGTCTCCTCAAAGCTGTGCCTCCAGTTCTTGTTGTAACTTGGGGTTGACATTTTTATATGCCGGCACCTTTGCCATGTGGAGGTGGGCGGGCTCCTTCCAGGCTCTGAGAGACGTTGTGGGGACTCTGGCAATCCCTGGACCACTGCAGTGACCTAGCTTGTTAGCTTGTCCCCCGCCTTTTCTCTCCTCCCACTACAGCTGCACACTTGGAGAAGACGGCATTTTCCAAAATGCAGGTCGGGTCACAGTGCTCAGCTAGAAATTGAGGCAGCTAGAAATTGAGGGATTGCTCGATCTGTTGAGGAAATTGCAGCTCTGGGCACAGCTTCTGGCCTCAGAGTGGCCCGGCCTCCCCTGCACCTGCTTCCCTCAGCAGGGGCTCCACCTGGCTCCTCAGTTAGTCTAGATGGTACCCAGTTGGACCCTTTTGCTCCGGTTAGTACCCACTCCCCAACCACCTGTCCTGGCTCGAAACAACTACCCTGACTGTTCCAGCAAGAGTCAGAACCCAGACCTTGCCCTGCAAGTGAAATGGGGACAGGAGAGTATGTCCTATCCCTTCCTCATGGAGGCCATGCGATCCTCACAGGCAGGGAAGACCTGTGGGTTCCCCACTAGAGCACAGGACTAACCCCGCTAAGATGCTGGGGGGCACCCACTGGGGTATGGGGGTACCCCGGGAGCTCACTGAGCTCTGTGACTGTGTCAACCAGAAGAGGCCGTAGGTTTGCCTAGTATGCATCTCCAGCATCACGTGCACAGAGTTTTCAAAGTAAAGGCAGAAGAACAGGGAAGAGTGGGGGGCTGGCCTCAAGCCTCTTGCTTTCTCTTTTCCCGTGAGGCCTCATCCACAGAGATCCACTAACTCAGCAAGGAAAAGGGAGTGAAGAGGGAGCCTCCCCACTCAGCACACTCCCCTGCAGAGCCTGTCACTGGGCTAGGAGGTTCCCCAGTCACCCAGCTAGGACACCTCCATCACTACCATTTTCACCCTGTCTGCATCCCCCCCCTCCATATGGACAGGATCTACTCTCCTTTTCCTAAGCTCAGGCGAGCCTCCTGGTCCCCTCCACCCACTTCCATCAAGACTGAGCTGGGAGCAGGAAGGAGGGTACTGGACTGGGAGGAGCCACCACACCAAGTGGCTTTTGCAGAATCACACTACACGTGGACAGTAAGGGGTGACTCGAGCACCCTGGCCCACAGTGTCCCCGGACAGGAGGCAGTTAGTGGGGACAAAGGAGCCAGGGTGGTCAGGATGAAGAGCAGGGGTGGACAAGGAGGGCTGGCAGAGCTGGCCGGGGCTCCCCGGCACCCGGGGCTTGGAGATGGAACTGCAGCCGCACTGCTGGGGATGGAGGGGCTGATTTCCAAGCCTGCCTCTTCCTCTGCACACCTACCACATCTCAAGAGGCTTTGTGCTGCCACCCATCCCGATCTGAATGCCAGTCCCTCCGGAGTTCCTGCTGAAATCCAATCAGCAGCTCAGTAGATGAAGAGGTGGGGCCCTGGGAGCCCTGCCTTATAAATAGGCTCAAAGACTGGGGAAGAGGTTGTTGATAAAATACCCAGTGTGCGAGCACGAGGACCTGAGCCTGATTGCCAGCACCTATATAAAAACGTCAGATGTGCTGCCGTGCCTGTAACGCCAGCACTGGAGAGGCAGACACAGGAGGATCTCTGGGGCTGGTTCACTAGCTATCCAGAAGCTAAATGAGCTCCAGGCTCAGTGAAAGACTGTCTCCAAGAAGAAGAAGAAGAAGAAGAAGAAGAAGAAGAAGAAGAAGAAGAAGAAGAAGAAGAAGAAGAAGAAGAAAGAGAAGGGCTGGAGAGATAGCTCAGTGGTTAGGAGCACTGGTTGCTCTTCCAGAGGACCTGGGTTGGATTCCCAGCATACACACCGTGGCACACCATCACCTGTAACTCCAGTTCCAGGGGATCTGATGCCTTCTTCTGGCCTCTGTGGGCACCAGGCATGGAAGTAGTGCACAGATACATATGCAGGTGAAACACCCAAACACATAAAATAAAAATAACAAGGCAGAAAGCAATAAGAAGACACACCGAGTCGACTTCTGGCCTCCCCCGTCACACCCGCACACACACACCCTTGTACCTACACACATACATGCACACAGGAGCCCTTGTACACAACACAACATAGCAAAACAGGGTTGGCAAGACAGCTCAGTGAGTCGAGGTGCTGGCTGCCAAACTGACAACCTGAGTTTGAGCCCCAGGACTCACATGGTGAAAGGAGAGACCTGAACCCCCAAAGTTGCCCTCAGACCTCCATGTGTGCACCATGGCGCGTGTGAGTACACTTGCACACACATAAATAGATAAGTGTAAAATCAAACTTAAGAGCTGTCCAAGAGCCTGCTGGTCCCTTCTCCACACGGAAGAGGCCTCGTGCATGAAGCAGAGACCTCGGCCAACCCCCAGTCTGCCAGAATCCTGACCTTGGATTTCCAGCCCTGAGGACAGTGAGCAGCCCATCTCTGCCTCGCCTAAGCTGCCAAGTGTAAAGTGTTTGCTAAAGCAGCTGAGATGGACCAAGAGGCAGGCGCCCAAGGGCGAGTCTATTTTTCACATGAGAAAAAGAAGGTTCTGGGAAGTTGGGTAACTTCCCCAAACCACACAGCTAATACAACTGAAAATAGCGAGGCTTTTGTCGCTCAGTCAACCACCGAACAGAAAAACACAGCAAAGAAGAACCCGGATGGAGATAACGCTTTGCTTGAGGGCACTGAGGGCAGTGGGGGGTGGGGGCATGCAACCACAGTGAGGTGGTTGTGCATGCAACCACAGTGAGGTGGTTGTGGACTCACAGTGTGGAGGCCAGGGAACACTTTGAAAGGCCAAAGTGAGGAGAATCACACAAAATCTTCAGAAACAGTAACCACCGGCCACTGTGATTGCAAATGGGGGGAACGTCAGGTTGAGGGTGAAGACAGCTATAGGCAGATGTCCTTTTAAAGGTCAGAGGACAACTGCATGCTGTTGATTCTC